AATGCGAATAAAAAGAAATTAAATAGTAAATAAACATGAACTTGAATAGCTTATTTTAATTACTTAGTTTAACACGTAAATGATCTTTATACTTACAAACTAAATTAATGTGAATAAGAAGAAATTAAATAATAAATAAACTTGAACTTGAATAGCTTATTTTAATTACTTAGTTTAATACGTAAATAATCTTTATACTCACTTTCTAAATTAATGCGAATAAAAAGAAATTAAATAGTAAATAAATATGAACCTGAATAGCTTATTTTAATTGCTTAGTTTAATACGTAAATGACCTTTATACTCACAAACTAAATTAATGCGAATGAAAAGAAATTAGATAATAAAGCATGAACTTGAATAGCTTATTTAATTACTTAGTTTAATACGTAAATAATCTTTATACTCACGCCCTAAATTAATGCGAATAAAAAGAAATTATAGTAAATAGACATGAACTTGAATAGCATCTTTTAATTACTTAGTTTAACACGTAAATGATCTTATACTCACAAACTAATAAAAGGAAATTAAATAGTAAATAAACATGAACTTGAATAGCTTATTTTAATTAGTTTAACATGTAAATGATCTTTATACTCACAAACTAAAATAATGCGAATAAAAAGAAATCAAATAGTAAATAAACACGAACTTGAATAGCTTATTTTAGTTACTTAGTTTAACACGTAAATGATCTTTATACTCACAATCTAAAATTGTAAAAATTATTAGTAAAAATGTTGATCGAATCAATAGTCAACCACATAATTGATATTTATTTAACATTAACTAGTAATAAATATTTTTATACTTACTTACTATACAAGTAATTTAAAAATATGGTTTAATAATAAATTTTTAAATTTTAGATCTTAATAATTGATTATTCTTATTCTTACTCCCTAATGGTTAAATAGTTGAGAATTTTGATTTTTTTTTAAAAAAAACCAATTAATAAATAAATAACACACTTGTTAATCCAACGGTAGAAATTATCATCATTTTCTTCTATACCAATTCCGTATCTATAACAAACAGCTGTTTTAAAAATTCCCATAGAATTACCAGATTCAGCCGATTTTAAATAATATTCAAATGCCTTTTCCATATCTATTTCAACCCCAATTCCTAAATAATAGCAATAACCAACATGATACATTCCGTTAGGATTATTCATCTCTGCAGATTTTTGATAATGAATAAACGCTTTATTCTTATTCTTTTCCATTCCAATTCCATGTTCGTAACAATAACCAAGCCAAAATATTTCATCTGGATCGAAATTCGGTGTATTAGAATCATCGATAATTTGAGTAATTTCACTTGATGAAGTAATTTCACTTATTTTACAATTGAAGTTTTAGACGCATAAAAATAAATGTTAGTGACCATTTTTTACAGTCGAAAAACAATTTATGAATGCTGAATATGGCACATTTAGTTCAGAATTATATACCTTATTGTATTTAATTGTTCTTTTGCGGTTGAGATTATTAAAGCTTTTTTTGTTGAGCTTTTCACGCTATCGATGAAAATTCTATCATCCTGATACGATTGCTTACAGTTTGTTTTATCAAGTTTGTACCCGATACTATTATAACTAATAAATTTATCAATGTTAAAATTTTTATTCTCCCTTTCATTCTCTGGAAGGATAACACAAATATTTAATATTGTTTCTGATTCTGGTTTTTTAGAATATGTTAAATGAAGGTAGTCACTCGACCACTCTTTTAATTCAAAATGAATTATGGAGTCAAAGTTGAAAAATAAGCTTGACACCTGGATTAAAACGTATGAACCTTCGGATAGTAATATTGAATTCTCAATCGGATATACCTCTGAAAAGTCTTTACAATTAATCTTTAAGTCTTTAATGAGTTGAATAGAACTTTCATCACGAAGGTCAGGACAACGAATTCCTAACGAATACTCTCCTACTATAGCCCACATGATTCTCATGTCACTGTAAATTCACAAAATGTAAGAGTAGATTTATTTTGATAAGGACCAAACATTTAACATACTCACCTTTCTTTCTTTATAGGATTAGTATTAATTACAATTGCTGAAAATCCACTATAATCATATAATCCAAAATTTAAGCTGCAATCTTTTATTGGTAAATTATTTTTATCTACAACTGAACCGAAAACCACGAATTCTGTGCTATTAAAATCTTCATTAAAGTCAATGCGTATATGCTCGCAATCTTTAACGCTTATATCTGTTATACCAGTTAATAATATTTTAGGCAGTGAATTATTATTTAATATCATTTCAATTTGACATTGTTCATTCTTGAAAATCTCATATAAAGGAGTAAATTTATCAAAATCAATGACGGTAAGATTATGGTAATTTTCAATGCTTTCAATCCAATCATTCAACTTTTCTTTCCTAATAACATTACCATCAGAAGTTAAAAAAACCAAATCATTTGTTATATTCTTATTATTTAATATTAGTTGCCCAATTTCTTCTGCTTTTAAATTATGATACGTATCACTATCTGGAGGTTTTGAATTTGATGTTTGCGGGCAAATTGCTCTTAAAAACCCTCCTAAAGTAATCTTCTGTGGCCAAAAATAACCATATTTCTTAAAGACTTCCTGTAAGGCTTGATATGGTCTCATTTCTCTAAATGCATTATTTATACCAATTTTAAAATCATCCACTGGTTTTATAAAGTTTATACTGAGATCCAGCTCTATTTTTTTTATCCTAATAATATAGTATGTGAATTCTTTTGAAATCAATTTGTCTTCGAGACAATCCTGAAAATTTCCAAATGTTCTTAGATATTTGAAAGTTTCAATTGACATGTTGTTATTTAATAGGAACTCATTGTATGTAGTTGACTGAACTTCTTCTATTAACAAATCATTTTTTACAATTAATTCCGGTACATGTTCAAAATTAATGGCAGCGTTTTTACTTGGAGTAAGAGTATTAGAATTAATCACAACCCCATGATTTAAATTGAATTTTTTAATCCATGTGACTAAATTAATTGAAGCAACGTTATTAACCCATTTTTTCATTGAAATTTCTTTTTGAACAAAACCAACTCCCGGAATCAATCTTTTAGAAAATTTGGTAGAAGTTTGATTAAAGGATGGGATTGGTATAATTTCTTCGTAAGAAATTATTTCTGCTTCTTGATCTCTATATATTCTTTTAAGCCAACCTATCAGGTCACCGAGAGTTTCGAAAAACTGTTGGTGCCCATATTCAATCTTTGGAAGCTCACTAATTGAAACAGAATTAAATAAATTTTGTTTTGTTATAATAATTTGGTCTAGAATCTAAGTTCTATA